GCAGGCAGGCAGCCAGGCAGGCAGCAGGCAGGCAGCCAGGCAGGCAGCAGGCAGCAGGCAGCAGGCAGCCAGGCAGGCAGGCAGGCAGGCAGGCGAGTAGGTGGGCTGGCAGGCAGGTCTGGGTCATATTTAGATGATATTACCCGTTAAGTAATTTACCAGTATAATTTACGTTTTCCTTCTTTTGTTTTTGGCTTTTTTTCTTCTTTTTCAACACGGTCTTACTAGGTACCCTGACTGGCCTAGAACTTGCTAGCAGGCCAGTCTGACTCCAAACTCATAGAACTCTACCTGCCCCTGCCTCCACAGAGCTGGTAAAAGTGTTCATCACCACACCCAGCAAGTTGTCATTTTCTAAAGGTCAATCATCATAGAGTTTAGAACACAGAAAAATTTTAAATAAAATCCATGCTCACATGCTTTCTTGTCAGAGTGCCCTGCGCTCCACAGAGGAGACAGGATACATTAACTGAATGCCCTTGGAGATTTCTGAACTAAAATGAATTTCATTAACTGATCCTACTAAAAACATTTCCATAGAGACAAAGGATACTGCTGCCAAGTCTGATGGTTTGAGTTCCATCCCTGAAGCCCTCATAGTGGAAGACAAAACCAACTCCCACGCTGTCCTAACCTCTGCAGGCATACTCTGAAACACGCATGAGTGTATGGACACACATGCACACAAATTTTTTAAATATTTAAAGAATAAGAAACTTTAGAGGATATGGCCTAAGCTATAAATGAAGGCAGATGACATGGAAAGTTTACCCTCAAAAAGAAAACTAACAGTCAGCATTCGGCATCACTGGGTCTGAAGCACAACAAGCACTCATGAAGCATCCTCTAAGAAGCCATCTCTTAAACACACAGGAAATGCAGGTGCAGAACAAGAGGAAGTGGACACGAACCTGGCAGTACTGACCTGATAAGAGCCTTCAGGATGTCATCCCTACCCACACGAGAGGCATGGTAGACAGGAGTGCTGCGGTGGTGCCGGCTGCCATTGGGGTCGGCACCAGCTTCCAACAGGATCTCAGTGCTCTCCAGGTGCCCGTTCACTACAGCCACATACAGGGCAGTCTGCCCCTTGACATCCACCAGGTCCACCTCCGCCCCTTTGCGTATGAGGAAGTCCACACAGTTCCCATGGCCTGCAGTGGCTGCAATTCTCAGTGGTGTGCAGGGGAGCCAGCCACAGCACCAAACAGACTTCTCATTGATGCGGCTGTATAGAAACACAGGGAGCTTGTGAGAGTCACCCCAGTCTCCCTCCTCTCTCTCTCTAGCAGAGGCTCCCAAGAAAGAGAGTCACTTAGGTAGCTAACCCTGAGGTTTAAAATGCCTTCACTGTGTTCTGTTTTCCATCTCATGGTGCTAAGGATCAAAGGTGCCGTTTGTGTTCTGTGTCCTGAAATGTTCACAACTCTCCCTGCTGAGCAGAGAGGACAGGCATTCAGGGCCCATTGACAAGGAAACGTGAGCCTTCTACAGAATAATCAGCACTAACACTGAGACTTCTAGTTCTTACATTCCTAACCCATAGTCCACAGCCTCTACAGACCACATATAGCTCCATCGGGGACACATGCCAGGGCAGGCAGGGTCATGCATGCTCTCTTACTAGTGATTATCTATCAACATCTAAGGCTGGCATCCTCTCCCAATAAAGATGATTAGTACCTATGTCCTCCTACCCTAGCCCAGAATACCTGAGAGCCTAGGAAGGTTACAGGGGCTTAGCCAGAAGTGATGGGAAACTGTCCAGATTCAGCTCTCAGTGTTCTTCACCTCAGCTTCTGCACTGAGGCAGAACCTAAGAACACACAGTAGACAGTGCCTCACTAACCACTCCCTGATGTCCCCCCTCCAGTCACACATGGGCTGATAGGGGCCAATAAAAGTCTAGAACCACCAGAGAAATGATCAGCAGTAGAAAATATAAAGGAAGATTCCTAAACCTCAAGGTTAAGAAAAAAGGAGCCGCCAGGCAGTGGTGGTGCATGCCTTTACTTTTAGCACTATGGAGGCAGAGGTAGTTATTGCTGTAAGTTCGAGGTCAGCCTGGTCTTCAGAGCTAGTCCCAGGACAGCCAGGGCTACACAAAGAAACCCTGTCTCAAAAAACAAGCAAACAAACAAAAGGAAGGAAGGAAGGAGGGAGGGAGGGAGGGAGGGAGGGAGGGAAGGAGGGAGGGAGGGAGGAGCTAGTGTGGTAGCATGGGTCAATAATCTAGGACTTAGGCGTTGGAGGCAACCTGGGCTTCAAAGATACATGAGGCCCAAATAGAGAGGAAGAATTAAGAAATGGGAGAGGGGAGTGGAAGAGAAATGAGGAAACAAGGAGAGAAGGAAGAGAGGAGGGGACAGGGAGAAGGAGAGAGCACAACAGGAACTACACTGAACTCACTCTACTGTATCTGTTATGCTTAAGGCTCTTAGGGGTTTGAGGCACATTAAATAAATTTAAATTTTTGTTTGGTTTTATTAGATATGTTCATTTTTTTCATGCATGAATGTTTTGCCTGCTTGTATGTTTTGAACCACACGCATGCTTGGTGCCTGCAGAGAGTGTCTCATGTGAGTGCTAGGAGTAGAATCCTCTGTGAGAGCAACAAGCACTGTTTAAGGGCTGAGTCGTCTCTCCAGCCCTGTGTTTTGTTTTTTAAATACTGACATGTGCACTGATGGAATACAGCTAAAACACTAGAAAGCTAAGAAAGGAGCACACTCCTGCTGGATTCCTGCTTGGGAACTGTCTACACTAGGGTAGTGGGGCTCGTTCCTGCAGAGACCCACAGGCACTTCCATCAGTTCGCTGCGCCCTTCTTCTCAAGGCAAAGCAGAAACACAGAAGTATAAACAAGTGCCAGTTTCAGTTGCATTCAGTATCTAGAGAGAGTACTGGATGCTCTCCTAGCAGCCTGCACAGGGAGACACAAACAAGACTCTGCTATCCAGGAAGAGTCAGAACTCAGTGACCAGAAGGTACTTGGCAATCAAAAGGCAAGAAGCTATGGACAGAAAAACAAAGGGGATGGAAGCTACCACATCCCTACAGTAGGAAGTCAGTGAGCCTATGGCTGATCACTACAGACCTGAGACAAGAAGAAGAGAACATCAAATGAATGTCAATAAAGTGGCTGTAGACAAAGGACTACCCAGGATAAAGAGTCATAGTGACTGGCTCAACAGACAGCTCAGTGGGTAAGAGCATGTACTATGCTCCTAGAGGAACTGCGTTCAATCCAAGTACCCGCATCAGGTGGCTCACAGCCACCTGTAACCACAGTTCCAAGGGATGACCTCGTCTGGCCTCTGTGGCCTATATTCACACGGTCATACCCACCCAAGCCCCCATATACACACAATTAAAATAAATGAACTAGCCAGGCACAGTGGAGCACATCTTTAATCCTAGCACTCGGGAGACAGAGGCAGGAGGATCTCTGTGACTTTGAGGTCAGCCTGGTCTACATAATGAGTTTTGGTCCAGCCAAGGCTGCATAGTGAGACCCTGTTTCAAATAAAATAAATAAGTAAATAAATCTGTTTTTTAAGAGTCTTGGGGGAGCTGGAGAGATGGCTCAGAAGTTAAGAGCACTGAGTGCTCTTCCAGAGATCCTGAGTTCAATTCCCAGCAACGAATCATCTGCAATGGGATCCGATGCTCTCTTCTGGTGTGTCTGAGGATGGCAAAGGTGTACTTACATACATAAAATAAATAAAATCTTTTTAAAAAAAAGTGTCTTGGGGAACTTAGAAGGACCTCTCTAACAACACTGCCCGCAGAAAAAAACACTGAAGAAACTGATGCTCACATAGGACAAGTTGCCAGGACAATCCCAGGCTGACTCCAGGAACCCCTGCCCACTGTACCTGGCCACCTATAATTCCTCCTTTTGTCCCTCCTTTAAAAGCAAACTGTAGTCCTGCAGCATCAGAGTTTTGCTCTGCAGTCCAAAGCACAAGGCTTAGCCTCCTGCAGGCCCACAGGCCAGCTCCTGTTACCAGCCCGAGCAGGAATGCTCACCTCCGGTAGCTCTCCTCTTGCAGTAGGTTCCTGAGCGTCTGGAGGTCCCCAACGTAGGCTGCATCGTGGAGTCTCGTGTCCTCACAGTGCTCCAGTGGATGGTCACAGAACTGCTCCCTCAGCCACTCCTTCAGATTCGGACCTGCACTGAAGAGAGGGGCTCCTATCAGCGTGCGGACTCACTGGCCAGGCCAACCAAACACGACGCCTTCTGCAGTGGCTCCCTCCTGCTAGCCACACAGAAACGTTCAAATTCCCAGAAATTAATTTATAAGAGAAAGCTGGAAAGTTTCCCTTTTTAAACTAGCACATTCCTGACACCAAGCCCAATGAGACTTTTTTTTTTCCTAAAAAAAGAAAAGAAAAGAAAATGTGATGGTCTGTTGAACAAAGGAACAATGAAACAGTAGTACAAACTGAAGTTTGAAATATTATGCCAAAAAATCCCAGCATGAAATTACTCTAATTTATCCCATGTATGTAAGAAGAACTTTGAATTGGGGCATTTGAAAGGAGAATGGCAGTCTACTTTACTGCAAAGACAAATGGTTAGCTAAAAGCCAAGGGACAAACATGGGTTGCTTGTCTGGAAGGTGAGTTCCATACCATACTGCTCTGTAAAATAGTAACAAGGGTGTCTTGATAAGAGACAGTTCAGCAGGGTACTACCGTCCCCACAGGCGCTCATGAGTTAGAGGTGCAGGCCCAGCATGCTGGTGCTGGGAGACAGCAAAGGCCTCCAGTCAGTGCAGCATCCCAAGCACTCACAGAGTCAGTGGGAAAATGTCTTCCTGCCAGACTGAAACATTTCTCCTGGGATACTGGCTAGTTCTTATCAGAGTTATTATAAGAGCAGAGATCAACCCCACCTTGTCTCTGACTTCCTGTTTAGCCAGGAGGTCACAGTTCCCACTACTTCAGTTGGCCTTGAGGAATCACAGATAAAGTGAGAGGCCTACATCAGAACCTGAACCATGCATGATATTCTGCCTTCAAGACTGTGAACTAAATACATCTCTTTTCTTTATAGTTAGCCTGTCTCAGGAATTTTATTATATCAATGAAAATGAAATAACAAGGAATGAGCCTCAAAGGTATACCTTTTTTGGTATAGAAATTACACTTCAAGAGCCTGGAGAGATGGCTCAATTTGGGGTACATGCCGTGCAAATATGAGCCCTGAAGCTCAGATCCCCAACACTCACATAAAAAGCCAAGACCACATTACTACAAGTCTGATGGGGCTAGGAGAGGCAGAGACGGAGGGACACTTAGGGGCTAGGAGAGGCAGAGACGGAGGGACACTTAGGGGCTAGGAGAGGCAGAGATGGAGGGACACTTAGGGGCTAGGAGAGGCAGAGACGGAGGGACACTTAGGGCTACGGATCCCTGGGTGGGCTGGCAGCTAGCCAAATACATCAGCTACAGGTACAGTGATAGCCTTGATTCAAAAATAAGGTAAATAAGTAAGAAAACCACTAAATTTCGACCTCTGAGCTCCATGTATACATTCATGCACACACAGAGAAAATCATGCTTCAATAAAATAGAAAACTAAAATATATGTGCATAAATACAAGTCAAGCCTATACAACAAGAACTAAAAGTGATTGGGAAGACTATACCATGTACTAGGATGAGATTCAGTATTAGACAAGTTCTCAGGGCTCCCCATAAATATAATGTAGCCAGTCTCTTCAGAAATTTGATATCAGATATACCAAAATGATTTCAAAATGTATTTGTGTGTGTGTGTGTGTGTGTGTATATATATATATATGGGAAAATAACTTCTGTTGTTGTTTTAGTAAAAATAACGGGTGGAAGAAACCCTACCACTCTAGATAACAAAACTCTCACCAGATTAGAAAGAAAGCAAAAAACAGAATCAATTCTCCAGAAGATCTTAATCTTACTATAAACAACTTAACTGTAATAAACAGGCATAAAATCAGAGTGAGACATGTAGTCAGTGTTGATTAGTTGTACAATTAATCACCTACATGGAATATTTGCATCTTTGCTCACATCACAGCCCAAACTAACTCCAACTAACTCCAGGAGACTGAAAAGCTTTATAAAACAAAATTGCACCAACAGGTGATATAAAGAAAACACAAATTCTAACTGCTTAGATTCCATCTCCCACTGTGTGGGGATGTCCTAGCATGTTATCAAGTATAATTTGAAAGCATATCCCCTCACACGCAGGCTTGTTCTAGACGCTGAATACAATATCCTTTGAGTCCCTACAGACTCTCCCATAGGTACACAGTGGTGACGACTAAGTACTCTTCCCCTCCAGGATCTGAAAGTCCGGTGACTGGGCTAAGACCAAGGCTAGAGGCAACATGAGGTTCACAAACACCCATGTGGTTCACTCTGATCCCACAGCCAGACGCACAGCAGACTAGACCAACAGGCAGGCGTCAAGCCCTTCAATCACTGTAACTACAGCGCAGTTACCAACGGGTATAAAAATTCAAAGCCAAAGTTGGGGAAAGAGTCAGATGTATGGGGTAACTGTCAGGAAGGTGAGCAGCACCAGAGGACTCGAGCAAGTCTCTGGACCTCCCTTTGCTCACCTCCTCTATGCTCCCAGCCCAGGCCAATGTACCTTCAGAATCTCCTCAATTCTAGAGTCAAAGGCCATTTCAAGTTTAGACTTCTCTGATCACCTAATCCAACTACCCACATGATAGCACTCAAGACCTGCACCTCCACCCAAGCTGGAAACACACCAACAAAAAGGCACTAAAACGACACTGGGGGTGGGTGCAATTTTTTCTTCCACAGTACTCCTCCATATGCTAAGAAATAGCTGTCCTTTAACCAACCACCTTTCTCTCATCTCTCATTCCTGCATGACAGGTCAGTCCACTCTAAAATCTTGTCTGTCCCCGAGATCAAATTCAGCACCAACAAAAGCTCTTGGTGGTAGAGGCCTTGTCTTGCTTTTTCACGTCACCCTGATAGCCCCAAGTAAGTCAAGCCAATAGGACACCATCCACAAATGTTTGTTGAACTGATGGAGGGAGGAATGACAAAAGACTGCGTCAACAGTGTGGCTTTCTAAGAGTTTTGCATACTGAATAGAGCTCGTTAAACAGAGTAAGCGCTTCACCAAAACCAGAAATGGGCACCTACCACACACATGGCAGGTTCAGAAAGACCCCAAGGAGGACGTCGTGCCAGGAACTTCTCCTGGGAATTGTTAGTTCCTAGAAGCAGCACTGCAAAGTGGAGATGCTTTAAGGCAGGTGGCAAGTGTCACCCTTTCTCTGCAGGTGGGTCAAAGGACAGCACTGTCATTAAGGTGGGTGGGGGTGGGGCAGAGGAGGTTTGTCCGTGACTACTTAAGTGATTATGCGCTGACTGGTGGCATGGGAAAAGGGAACCTATTCGTACCAAGGCCGACCTTTGAGGGCCTTTACTGACAAGTGCGCTCATACCTAAAGGAAGATCTGTACCCCATGGCACAGCTAGGGTCATCGCAAACTGGGATCGGCTAACAGGGTGACAGTTACAAGGCTAGCTCCACCAGAAAGAAACCCCGTGGGAGGGCTGTCCACGAGAGGCCAGGAGCGGGGGTGCGAGCCTAGGGCCGCGCGAAGACTGACATACAACTTACTGACCCCGGGCGCGACTCCTCCGATGGGGACGGTGAGGACAGAGGACACGGGCCTCGGAGGCCCGAGGGCCGCTCTGACTGACCCCAAGACGCAACCCTGCTCCCCACCACCCCTATCCGCACACATTACCTGCGGGTCCCGGGCCGGCCCGCCCATCGGGGCTCCCGCCCTCCGCCATGCCTACTTGGTCCTCAGCCTCCGTCCTGACCCCGCCGCCTGTCCGCCTCCGCACCGATCCTGTCAAAAAGCAACCCTGTCGGAGAAACACCTCCGGCGCTTCCGGCAGGTGGGCGTGCCCGGGGCTCGGCTTCCGGCGAGTATGCACCTCCCTTTCGTACTTCCTGCTCCGCGCGGAGGGTGCTGGGGTCTCCACTTCCGGCCTGGCTAATGGACTTGATCGCTGATCAGCGAGGTAGACGAAACTGTGTTTACCAAGGAAGCAGCCGATTCTGGGGAAACGCCTTTTCCCCTGGGGGCGGAGGCTTATTTGCGTGCCTCAGAAACTCCTGGTTGGTAGATTCTGGGAGGCGGGACGTGGACGGGGCTGTTAGAGCCCCGCGGACTCCAGTCCGCTGCCCGCAGCGGTCGAAGGTTGTTGAGTGAGGTGGGGCTGCGCTGCTGTCCTTTCCTCCAGACTTCAAACAGTATCTTCCGAGTCGGTAACTTGTAAAGTTGTGCTAGATTAAGGCAGCCCAGAATGTCTTCATGGAGCCAATAGTGTCTGTAACTTGGTCAAGGCGTGTTGACAAAGTGGCTTTCTCCCAAGCACTCCCGATTTTACATCGGTCACACCGTGTGCATTGCGTTTCAAACAGTTCTTAAGCCTGGACGCTGTTGGGTCCTTTCATTCTCCCCTACACAACTTAGGGAAGGTACCTTGCAGGGGAGGTCCCCAGTGGACCGGGGAGGCTGCGCCTGAAGGAGACAGAAGCGCCCCGCTGTCCTGTAAAGCGGAGGCGAGGCCTCAGTCTCCAGCACCCTGGCTGTGACTTGTCTGCATCTTTGTGTGGTCATGGCACACCAGCTGGGAGCTTGCGACTATAGGTGCCCAGAATGGCTCAGTTGCACAGGTCTGTGGAGGTGTATGAGGCAACCTGGAACAGAGCCACGGGCTTTGAAGGTGTTGAGGGGAAAGAGAAGATTACTGCAGTGGTGTTTGGTCTTGATACCACCACTGGCATGAAGGACAGGTGACACCAATGACTCTGCAAGGCAAAGAGCCAGAGGTGGCCCGGCCTTGTGGCTCTGCTCCACAGCTGCACACCCTACATGGAATACCTCAAGTGTAAAACCACCCAGATGAGCATGAATGGATAAACACACATCCAAATGTGATGTGGTGGCAATCCATATAGCCTTTAAAAGCCTGTGCCCCCGGTTACAGCCTGGCCAACGCTGGAGGACCCTATGCTCAGTGAAATAAGCCAGCAATAAAGAACAAATACTGCGTAATTCCACTCACAGGCGGTCACTAAAGGAATCAACCTTGTAGAAACGGAGACGAATTGTAGGTGCCAGTTTGCTACCAGAAAAGAGAGTGTCACTGGTGAGGGGACAGAGATAAAACTCCATGCTGTCACCCTAGCCTGAGAACTTCGTTGAAACCAAAACTCAGGCCCAAACAGACTCAAGATTTTGACTCAGAAAAGAAAAAATGTTGATTAATGGAAGCAATGTTGAGGTTTTATTTAAAATATTTTAACATTAGACTTTAACCACAAGACTTAGAAGAGAGATATGAAGAAAGACACGCCCAAGTATAGCTCCTCAAGGTAGTCACAATCCTTAGCACTAGATACGATATGCGCCATATTGATGGCTCTCAACTTAGAGCTCAAAAGATTGCACAGAAACACTCTCTCCTCTCTCCCTCTCCT